TTACCGTAGGAACGAGGCGGGAAGCACCGACTCGGCACCGTTGATTGGGGAGGCTTAGAAATGATCTCCCCCCTCCTTCCCACCACCACCACGAACATTCACCAACCACCCCGTTCACCAAGCTCCCCTCCGCTTTGAATAGCAGGGACATGCACCAACCACCACGAGCTTCTTCGTAATTAATTTTAACGCCTTCATCAGCAAAGGGCAATTTGCAGAGCCACTTCTTTACCGCGGCTGTTCAACGGGTTTGGCCGTGCAATTTGTATCGATTTGCAATGCAATTTTCACCATGAATGTAGATTAGTTATATATAGAAATAATTCTAAGTGAGCGATTTGATACTCATTAAGGCCTGTAATGTTTCCAGAAGTTCTGTTTGGAAAACATAGTAATGATGTTAGTTTTAAACTTCATATCGATGCTTATTCGTGGAACCTTTGTTTGATGATTATCTTAACAAGGTAGCAGTCATTAAATCCGATTATAATGAATGCAGAATTCAAATTGTTCCTATTGGAATGTGTAATGGTACTGATAATGATACTGAAACCCAAATTATCATATTTTTGTACTGGCAAAGGAGGTCCCATGATGTAGCTGCTCACTTCGAGCTCTCATTATTCTGATAGCTCATTGTCTTTGATGTGGACCAATCAGTTTCAAAGACTATGCATATATTATCAGAGTGTGTTTTGTTTGCATTCTGACCACAAGTATTGTGGTTAATGCAGACATGATTCCTTGTAAAAGGTTTCAGTTTGGTGTTTTAACATCTTAACACCTGTTTTGTTGCCACAAAAAAGGGGAAAACCTATTATTATGCTGCTAATGTTTGCTGTCGTCATCATCATCAGCCATGGTCAATCCACTGCTTGATAAAGGCCTCCTCCAGCTGCTGCCACATCCCGCGACCATGCGAAGAAGTGAATTTTGAGAGGGTCTTGCTTGTGACGTTTAATAACATTCTCGATTACCCCCCCTCTCCCCCTGTCACCCATCTGCTTGTCCTACCCCATAAACACACTTCTGACGATCGTTACCCCGTGCACGCGGTAGGGCTGTGAGCTCAGACGTCCCTCTTCGGTCCCGAAGTTTGAGGGTCTATCGCTCCGGATTTGTTTCATGCCATTTGCTGCCCCACCCCCCCACTACTCCGACCTCCTCTTTGGAATCGACTTCATATTCTGGGTTCTCGCTTTGCTACTTTACTCGCTGCCATTGTGGCCAGATTAACGGCTCTACAACTGTCTAGATTTGAAGCTTTCGTGACTGCAAGGATTCATACTCTCGGGTTTTTTTTCGGTAAAGTCACGTAGGTAAAAAATAACATTAAGAGTTAATAAAAAAGAATAATGGAAATAAAATAAAATAATTAATCACGACGTTTCGGAGGCAACACAAGTCTCCGTCATCAGGTGGGACCGTCACAGCTAAAATTACTGCATAAACTCTCCGGTTGTAGAATGTGGACAGTGTATTGCAGTGTTGTTGTCCATTGTTATCAACAGTGGTAACGGTTTGCAGTCCTACATTGCTTTGATTTTCAAGACTTAATTTTGCGATCGAATGTACCGCATTCTATTGAAATTAGTCTGCTTCGTACGTCTTCACACTTTCATTGCCCCTTTGACATCGCAATCTGCATTTCCCAGGAAGCCACACTGAGTCGACGAGTGTTTATACATGTGTTAAAGGAAACCGGAGCACCCAGAGAAAACCCCACGTGTGTGAGTGGTCAATACTTGGTGCCATACAGAAGGGACAGATGATGTCAAGTCCCCACTTGCTGTCCTGCCATCTCCCGGCGAGCCATGGTCTGGAGTTTGGCAACATTTGTTCGATCCACCAATTTTCTGCTCAAAAGTGCTGGGTTACGGGCCCCGGTGACATAGCCACCACCGCCCAGTATATAATGTGATCAGTAATCATTCATCCATAACACAGGTTTTTTTTTTGGGTTAGATCGCGTAAATATATAAATGTGTCGTTAAACCCGCCACCACCCGACACAATCAATTAGTAAGGTTTGTTACGTAAACACAACATGCCAATTCGTCACTAGTACAGCACACCGGTGTGTTGGAGAGCCAAGCCACAACATTTACAATCTGAGTATTACGTTTCGCCAAAACTAGCTTCATCAGGCGACAGCCAGATTTGTGGAGAAGTCTTCCTCCTGTTTCATTCCTTAAATAGAGGCGTATATGTGATCATTGCACAGTAATCATTCATTTGCTGCACTCCATTTATTTATTTATCCTACGATGTCACCTCCAATTCACGCATTTATTTCAGCAGTGCGTGCGTTGTTAAAGTGAACCGTATCATCTTTTCTACACGGAACAAAATATGTTGACGTTTTTCCATGTATAGTGCCGCATGTGTTATGCATTATGTTTCTATAATTGATGACATGAATCAAAAGAGCACATACATCCTGTTGTATTTTGTATAGTATTTGTAAATAATACGTATATATATATTCCCAAAATTATTGAAAGCGAGCACCAGACCTGTGCATTTTGAATCGTCCGTGCTCTGGTTCATTCGCTGCATGTCAAGGGGGTTTATTGAAGTCACGCGAACAAACAGCAGTGTTTGTGTGTGTCTAGATGATATCGCTGCTGCTGCTCAACATCCATAACTGCATGTGTGTGTCCTGTAAACAGCATGGCAGGGCTGGCGGACAACACTGCGGTGTGAACCGCATCCTCGTACATTATTTGGGAGATGTTGAAATATTTTTTTTGTAACGGGCATATTTTTTATTAAATTCGTATTTTTTCAAAACCACGATTTTTTTTTTACAAATTGAGACCAGAGCTGAGATTCAAAGGATCTCCACGGTCTGAAATAAACGAGTCTAAAAGTAGAACGTAGTTGACGTGTCGGGCAGGACAGAAAGGTAGCAGAGGGTAAGCGGAAAGAAACGAGCAGGCAACAGCAAGAGATGAGAGAGAGAGAGATGGCCGATTAGAATGGGGCTGCGCTAAGGTAGGCACGTTTATTACTTTTCTAAATAAATTAAAGATTATTTAATAACACATTCACCACAAACAATGTGCTGATGGGACATTGCTTGTGGGTTAACAAAAATGGCGATGTTGGCCATTATCTCCTGTTGCGGCAATACGTGAGATGTACAGTACAATAATTAATGGCGCGTTTCAAAATAGTGATGTTTAATGAGTGACAGTCGTAAATAGCTATTAAATGGTAGTGTGTCCTCACTCTGTCACCTTGCTTGGTGGGGGCTCTGAGTCGGTGGTAGACATTTGACGTTCCTATGGCAGGGACCAGACGTTGCCATAGACTTTCATGATGGTCTTCCCACTTCTTGGTTGAGGCTGAGCAGATGTCTGAGTGGGACATGAACTAGTCACCCTGACACTGTGAGTTAAATGCACTGCATCTGTGCCCTCTGGCTAGATACCAGAGCTACTCCATAAGTAACCACAACTATAATCATTGCATTCGAATTAATTTTTCTCAATTTAATTTTGTTTGCTGTTGTTGTTGGATACCGATCCGTGCATTACTCTACCACCGCACATTTATTGGCTGGGGAAATATATTTGCGAGCCAGGAAGCATGTCTTCACATGCTATCGTGTATGTAAAAGGAAAATGTAATTAATATGCAGACATGCTGAAAATAAATTATTTGGTTAATGTGCAAGTGGTTCTTGATTGATGCACAACTGCATCCTTGTGTATGGGCTTGTGCTTGGCCAGTTTTCACTTTTTTTCTCTCGCAACTATGCACTCACTGTTTCTACATTCAGTGCAGCAGAAATCGTATTTTTTACCCCATTATTCGCGATTCTTATTTTATACGGGTAATTGTAGCGTCTGTACATAAAAAAGTCTACTATTTACATTCCTATCCTACCTATGATCTGTTATTTTCTGCAAGAAAAAATCCCTGCGGATAAGTGGAATGCAATTCTTGGAAAAACCTAATGGTTAATATGATCTACATTATCATGGATAAGAGGAGATTTATCGTACACACAGTATAGGTTGAGAGTTAGTGCTGTGGTCAGTGTGCTTGATTCACATTTGGAAGATCGTACGTTCAGATCCCATCATCCCTTTTGGGTCTATAAAATGTGTACTGTTTTACGGCAAGTCAACAACAGTGGCCATTCCAGAGAGGCACAATTGTATTCCTACATTGAATTTCGCAGCGTGATGGTGTGCAAACCCCTGTGCAGAAGACTCAAGCACATGGGGCAAAACGTTCAACATCATGCCAAGCCGTGCAGTTGCAATTTCCAAATTTGTCAAGCAATAATACCCTTGGTGCTGTGCATAAGTGGTCATTGTTTGCTCTGTAGAAATGATCACTTGCATTGCTCATGATTTAAAATCAATACAATTAGGTTAATATATTCATTACAGCTGTCTTCAATTATTCACTTTATTAAATATATTAAAATCCAGAAGCTTTTTTGTTTTTCAATTAATAATAACATTAACTGTAAGGTTTTAGTCACTTGGATTGGCTTTTGAAATGTAGAACCGTGACTATAAGAAAGTTGTTTTAATTAGATTTGCCACTATACAGATTAGCATATTAATTGCATTCGCTACATAACAGATTTTTTTTCTTCCCACTGTTTCATATTACAATCCTGGGAAATGTATAAAAATGTTGGCCATTTTTCAAAGAAAGTTTGCTAAAGTAAAAAAAAAGTATATGCCGCCTAGTTAAGTCAAATACATTTCAGTTCTGCAAACATAAAACAAAACAGGAACATCTTAAAATTGAAAGGTACAGTTTAGGTATTTATAATGTGTTATATGAAAATCCATACCACTTTACCTTCTACCATACTTCAAAGTTGTGTTTCAAAAAGCGTAATGTTTCATACCAAGAAATACTTCAGAATGCTGTTTTTTATGAGCACTTAATAATTGGAGGATTATCCAACATTCGTCTGAGCAATGTTTGGAATGTGTTTTTAACCTTCTTTTCCATTTGCCTCCCTGCAGAAAATCTTCTCGACACAACGTTGGAAACAGCCGAACTTGGTTGGACTGTGTATCCCTCTACAGGGGTAGGTGTAAACATTTGTCTCTTCCATTTTTCCCACCTCACAATTATTTGGTTTGTTTTGCCCTGCAAAATCATTTGCCACACCCCTGTGATGATATCAGGTGCCACCGCTCAGCTTTGTGTTGTGATCTGAACTTTCATTGCTCGTACATTCATATATGCATGTGTGTTTAACTTCTTTCGCACCGTACGTAGCCAACCGTGCTAATCGGGGGTGCGGGGAAGGACGACAAACTTAACATAAAAAGCAACTCTAAATAAATTCGTTTTAAATCTAGATTTAAAAGTGCATAGCTCCATTGGCTTCCTAATGTCAGAAGGGTGAGGGTTCCAGACGGCTACAGAAGCACATCTGAAAGCACGCGATGCGGTGGCATTTTTTGTTCGATGGCTTCGCCAAAAGCCGCTGTGAGGATGACCGGAGTTCGCGTGATGGTTTACGCTCCTTGTAGTTCATTTATTAGCTTGCATCTTTTGGAGTTTCTTTTGGCCTCTGGCATGGAATTTCCTGAAATGGAATTCATCCACCAGAGCTTCTCTGCACCTACGGCTCGGCTGTGTTTCATTCATTATTTAATTAGTCTCCTCCCCCCCCCCCCCCTGCCTACTCTGTCACCATCCCTCTTCTCTCGCTCCAAGCTTTGGCAAGCCTTAAGGAATTTAAAGAAAATAGTTAGACCATTGTATGTCCTCTTTTTTATTTTTAGCTAAAGCCTCCTAGATCTGTGTCTTGCTGACTTAAAAAAAACAACACCCTTATTTTTCTGGACGCGTCAGGAAATGCCAGCGCCCTTTGCACGTACGATGCTGGACTTGTCGTAAATACTGAGCTTTCATCCCGTACTCATTTGCTTCATTACCTCGAATACCGTAGGCTATTTTACGACAGCCGATGATAGCTGGGGTCCTGGAGTTCAACTTCCAGGGTGGTTAGTCTGTTGGGGGCGAAGAGAGAGAGAAAAAAATTCAATATGTGATCCCATCAATCACTTTGTCGTCTGTCTCTGTCACTCACTACGTATCCATTTGTCGAGGTGTCTAAATATACCTTGATGTCTGTCTAATTGATGCCTCTATGCCCATCCGTCGGTTGATGTCTATCAGCTCGCGTCTCTCCATTTGTCATTGTCTGTCAGTGCCTATTGATTGATGTGTCTCTGCCTGTCGGCGTCTGTGGACCTTTGCATTTCCTTGGTTGCACATATAGAACATTGTGGGTGAAAGCATTGTTACATAGAGCATTGCTTGCACATACTCTCTGTTTAATCCACAATCCTACCAACGTCTTAGCAATGTTCAACATCATTAGCGAGTAGCATTTGAATAGCTGAATCTGGCTATTGATAAACTCGGCTCAAAACATGTACCAAGCGTGGTCTTAAACCTCCACAACAGTGGAGGGGTTGGCCGATGCAGTGGAGCATTGTGGTGGCCACGCTACACTCTGGACGTAATAGGCCCTCACTGATTTCACTCGCTTCTGTTGCCGACAAAGCAATCATGGATGAAATTTGTGAACATATTTTTTACGAAGACAAACTTGAATATACACAGGGTGGTGGCTTGGGGGGGGGTGGGGCTTCATCCATCAGCGATTGACTAAGGCTGCTGCTGATGATAATGGCGATCCATTTATAGACACCCCACTTGTATAATGACCTTTTTCTCAATACGGTATTGAATATTATAAAAGTGACGGCTCCATATCTTGCAGAGCGGAGAGGGCGTTAACACATTTAATTCATGGATTGTGATTGGTGGGAAATGTGTAGAGGCCCTCAAATAAAGTGTTCACATCTTTATAATGACTCCCTATTAGTTTAGTGGTATATTTGGCTATGGTTGGATCACCCAGGATATGCAGTGGAATCTATCTTTAGTGTTTGTTTGCACATTGCCGAGCATGCGTCTGAGTTGCGCAGACTTCCAACTGCCACACACGGCTTCCAGGCTAAATACGTGGCACGCCACTACGCTACTCTCCAGCAAGCTTATCAGCGTGAGCATTTATCCACCCATATTAATTATTTTATTTTCCTCGCATCAAAAACGGGAGAGGTACCAATGGAAAATGTGTGTCCGTGCTTGCAATTATTGTCGCAAAATAAGTAACAGTTTCAATCCAGCGATGGATGAAGGTCTCCCTCCACACCCATGTCTGTTCCGAGTTGTTTTTATTTTTAAACCATACTTCATCACACTGGTCGGCACATGTTGGGGAAGGGCGTGCTGAAGGGGGCGGGGGGGGAGTCAGGAATTGGTCTAATATCACTCGCCACTGATGCGATCCGTGACCAGGAATCGAATCGGTATACCCAAGTGCATAGCGCAGCGCTCTACCCACTATGACACCACTATTCCCGTCATGTGCTTGCATTGAGTTGAACGACTTTGTCCATGTGCGTACATAGTACATTGTGGGGAGCGGTGGCGCAGCGGTTAGCGTGCTTCGCTACCCAGCAGTGATGATTATCTGAACTGGTCCTGGGCCTCCTCTAGGTATACTCAGCCTCAAATGCGTACCTGTTGCAGTGTGTAAATATCACCACTTGGGAGATAAAGGCGGCCCGGCGTGGTGTTGGCCACCCACCCCCTCTTTTTTTGATGCTCGCGAACAGCACTTGCCCCAACAGTCTGTGACAGGCTATTTGAGGGATGCTGGGTCTTTGTCTTTGTACTACATTAGGCTGTAACTATTTACCCGTCTTGCCATCCGACATATTTTCACGATTCAGGGTCACGAGTCAATTCAAGAAGCAACTCTTTTGTTTCATCTAAAATATGTCCAAAACTCCACGAGTTTGTTTAAATGGAGCATGGGCCAACAACATTTGTAGCTTGCACCAATTGGGTCAGCGACTGCAAATGTACGCCAGATAGCGATTCAGTCACTGCACAGCAGTTAGTAAACAAGATATTGGTCTGTTTATCAATTCAAAGTACTGCTACAACCCAAAATTGTTTGTTATTCGCAGGGCTGAGTACTTCCTAAATCAAGCACAGGAATTAATATTTATTAGTGTAGGCACCAGCATTCGCACAGAGTCCCGGACGCGTGTGGAGCAGTAATGTTCGGCACAATTAAATGCAAGACCGCCGAGCTTGCAAGTAGTTTTGCGGTGCGTGCATGTGTGCAGGAATTACGCAACACGTATTTATTTTGGAAAAGGCCGCACGGCTTACTGGGGGTTCTCTATTGGGAAGTGCAGGGGTCATCTCTGGGTAAAAACCCGGGGACGCTTGAGCCCTGCCCATGCCATCCCCCCCATTCCTGCCCGTTTCTCTCTGTGTCAATATGAGAATATGTCCAAAAGGCCACTGCGGATGCCAGCCCACTCACCCCATTCCATCTGCAAGCCTGAATAATGCTGTCCTGGCTGGAAGGATGGGCTGCTGCCAACCTTCGACCCAAATTTGGAAACATCGCTCAGTATTGGCTGGGTTTTTACGGGCTGTATATTTTGGCTGTTACAGGCCTCGCAGTTGGAAAGTTTAAACGTTCAAATCCTGGTTGGCAGTCAACTCTATCATGAGCACGACTTTGGTGGGCAGTCAACAGTGGCCATCTTATGGAGCTCTTTGTTCTTATAGGGGTCCAGTGTTTTAATTGCTTACGAATATTTCCAATTATAAGCACTGGCTTGGCGATATTTGTGCAAAATAGCAGCATTCTCACTCTTCCATAACACCACTAGAATTAGCATTTCCATCAAAACTGTCTTCATGTGTAAGAAATGGTGATCATAATAACTCTTCGCAAATTATGCCATGCATTTAAGGTAATTTTAATTTGGTGTGAAAATAATATGAGTGTTTATTTACTAGGTAAGACTCATGCTGTTTTAATGATGCATATTATTACACCACCGTTTCTGATTATTCGGCTAATGAAGTAGAATTTATTAAAATGAGCATTAAGCAGATATGCACTTGTTAAGTAACATTACATTTTTGCTGATGATTGAATATTATTTAATTCTAAAACAGCGCAGTGCAACTTAACTTTACTGTTTTCTGGAGAGTATAATCTACTATCAAAAGATAAATACACAAGGCAAAAAATAACATACCAGTTTGTTTTTCCATGCCATTTAACATTAACACTATTTTATTTTAATTATTCGTAACTTTTGTGTAACAAGGCCAGATTTCTACACTTTGACCTTCAAAGCTTAGCGTTTGAAAATATGGAAATATGGACTTCTTGCAGTGATTAGTTTGCAGAAAGACGACGTGAAATTAAGCAACCACATGGCAATTAAATAACCAAAGTGGGAGGGGGAAAAAAATGGAGCAGCTGACTGAGGCCTAAATTCGCATTCGCCGTGCAGATACGAATACAAATGCGCCTAAAAATTAAACAATATGTTTCTGGACACATCGTTCTGAACAAAAAACCCCTTAGGCGTTTTGGATATATGCATTCTAAGAATGCTTACCCAGCTGTGAGAGTTTCCAAGGGAAGTAGAGCACAAGGAAAAGGGGTGGCGAGGTGGGTGTGGGGGGGGGGGGCGAGGGAAGGGGTGGGTGGGGGGCGAGGGGGGCATGCGGGGGGAGTGAGACAGGGAAAAAGTTGCCATTGTCACTTTCATTTATTTCCAATTCCCTAGCCTCATTTTGAAGCGAGATTTTTAGTATGTTCATATTTTTCGCGAAAATGTAGAGAGCTTTTTTCTAATACCAGGTCGCAGCCGTATAGGTGCGGAGCGCTTGCCAAGTGTTCGTCCGCGCAGTGTTTTTTTTTCATTGTAAATGGGGGATGCTGTGGAATATAGAACATGCAGCACTCATCGTACGTGCTTGTGTGTCGTGCTAATGTGCAAACTAAAGTGTACCCAGCCGGCCGTAGCTGTGGGTGTAAAATTTGACGTTGCATTCGGAAAGTTTCGCGAATTCAAACTCCAGTTAAAATGGGTCACTTCATCCACCTGATATGCTTGGGCGGCTGTGGGGTTGACTTTTTGCTCGCCACCGTGGAATTTCTACCGCTGGTTCAGAGCTGACATTGGAGAGGAGCGTTGCCCCCAGCGTTAGTCAGAAGTGCACCATCCGGTCACCACTTCTTCACTTTTTTTGCCAAAAATCTGATTGTAATCATAACAACACATGAAATAGTTTGTTATTAAAGCGATGTGTTTAGTACAGTTGGCTGTAGAATGTATTTGTGATTTAAATTGACCCGATTTTTTTTCATATTTGGATCAGTTTCCGGAATCTTAATGTGTGGCATCGCTGCACACATCCATCGAATGCTTGGTACATGCAAACACAAATTTTGGTTGCATTTATTAGGTCAGTGTAACTTTGAAATCGTCTATCTCCCAAAATGTATCAACCATATTTTGCCATTAGAATGCATACCGCTTGTTATCATATCAAGTTATTTGGCATGCATTTAAATGCCTAAATAAACAATTAATATGCCAATATATTTTCCCCGACAGTTCACAGTTTTTTCAAATGAAACGAGTGTACTTGGTATGTAAACCCACCTGGAAAATAGTGTAACGAGCCTGCAAAAATTCACACGCAACTATCAATAATGTGCCTCAATAGCAGGCGGTAAGTACTCCATTTATCTTGTCTTGCCGGCGCAATTACCGAGCAACAGACGGTTGGTCTGTGAGAAATCCTCCCGATTGTTCCGAATGTTGGAGGCTGAGTGGCGTTGAATCCTGCTTAGTATTTCCAGAGAGTCTACCTGGAGATACCTGGTGGTGTACATGACTTTTGCAGGCGCTCCAGTTTCAGCCCTCATGCCAAAATCTCGTGAATGGAAATTTGCCCAAATATCCCAATCGCAAGGATCCCCATGGTGAATAACACAACTGCAAAGTCTTGACAATAAGTAGGGTCACTGTTGGTAAATGATCAACACTATTTATTGCCATTAGCAACCTAACATTAACCGCACCTCCGTTGGCTACGTACGATGTAAAAGACGCTCAACATAGATACATAGCATCAATCGGAATCAATTCAAGGAACTTTACATAGCTCTGCATACAATATAAATGCATTGTATTGACTTACGACTATAAAACATTTCTTGCAATAGTCCTGTACACTATTAGGAAGAAGAAGAAAAAAAATAACACTGTGGGCTTTACTGTCTGCGGTTGTTCCGGTTTGAAAGCCATTTCAATGTGAAATGCAGAGCAAATGTGGCTAAGGCCACACACACACACACCTGTGTTTGTTGTTTCCCTCGTTCTCCCAGAGAATAATGGGTCGCAGAGTTACGTCTGGAACGTGTCTGAACACCGACGGCAAAAAAACGCGTTCGTATTGAAAGTGCTGTTTGTGCGATTATGGGCCGGTCGCGTAAGAGACACGTTCTCACCTAATGCTGAAACAATGCATGTCACTGGGGGACGTGAACGATATTAAAGCCGTCTTGCATGGATAATGTCCATATGCGCCCGCCTGGTTAGTGCTGTTGAAAATATAGTTTCTACGGCTTTTAAAACAATCCCTGAGCAATCCCTCATGTCATTCGAGCTTGCCACGATGAAGACAGCCCGCGTGTTTACCTGCTTTTATATGGAGTGCCTGTTCCCAACCATGGGAATGTGGAATTTTGGTCACCGAACAAGTGCTCTCAGCAGAAATGAGTGCTGCTTTTTGCAATAATACATTGTTTGCTTGTCTGAACTTTGACTGATGCAATCAGCGGAAATGAAGTGCACTTAAATACACCAAATAATAACAGAATTAATTGATAAAAGGCAGTGTCTCTTGCCGATCTGATTGCTCAAATGCACATAATAAAACTTGGAATCGTGAAGTTCATTCAAACTCATACATTGGGCCCGACGCAAGATACCTGCGACACTCGTTTATTTCCCAGCACCCATTGCAACACCTCTAATGGCGTGCGTTGTGTGTGCGTGCATTAACCCCCCCCCCTCCCCACCCTTGTCGACCGCGTGCAGTGGGAAGAGGTGAGCGGCTTCGACGAGACCATGAACACCATAAGGACCTACCAGGTCTGCAATGTGTTTGAGGCCAACCAGAACAACTGGCTGCGGACCAAATTTATCGAGCGCAAGGGCGCGCAGCGCGTCTATGTGGAGATGAAGTTCACCGTGCGGGACTGCAGCAGCATCCCCAACGTGCCGGGCTCCTGCAAGGAGACCTTTAACCTCTACTACTACGAGACCGACGGCGACGTGGCCACCAAGACCAAGCCGTTCTGGATGGAGAATCCCTACATCAAGGTGGACACCATCGCGCCGGACGAAAGCTTCTCGCAGGTGGACCTCGGCGGCCGGATGATGAAGATCAACAACGAGCTACGCAGTTTCGGGCCCCTCTCCAAGAGCGGCTTCTACCTGGCCTTCCAGGACTTCGGCGGCTGCATGTCGCTCATCTCCGTGCGCGTCTTCTTCCGCAAGTGCCCGCCCGTCGTGCAGAGCTTCGCCAACTTCCCCGAGACGCTCACGGGGCCCGAGAGCACGTCGCTGGTGATCGCGCGTGGCTCGTGCATCCCCAACGCCGAGGAGGTGAACGTGCCCATCAAGCTGTACTGCAACGGCGACGGGGAGTGGATGGTGCCCATCGGCGGGTGCACGTGCAAGCCGGGCTACGAGCCCAGCGGCGGGCGCTCCACCTGCAACGGTGAGTTTGCCGTGAGCCGCACACAGTGGTGTGTGTGTGTGTCAAAGGTGGCTGGGCGCGGTGTTGGTAACCCACCCCCTTCCCTCCTGTGCCGTGCCGGCCTTCGTAGGTGCTGCTCGCTTAACAGCACTTGCCCAAAAAGTCTGGTGAGGCTATGCGGGAGATCTTTGTCTTTGTTCCACGTGGTAAAAACAGTAAAGGATGGTGCTGTCTATAAGGGCTACTAACTCTGGTAGTGTTTTTTTTTCGGGGAAGCTTGAAGCCTCTTCTGGTGTCAGACCGCTTGACAAACAACAAGCGGTGTAGTTCTAAAATGCATCGGTCGAACTCGGCAGCACGATCGCATAAAAAAAAACATCTAAGTTGTGATATATTAGTGTTTGTGCTGTAGCCCACAAAACATCGTGAAGAGTAGACATTCTTGTTTTTTTTTTGTCTAGATTCATTGAGCCAAACGGGTAACATTGACAGTTTTTTTGTTGGATTTTAAATCGAGTCACAATGGGAAGGGTGCAGTATTTTTCTCGCCGTGTCCTCAATTGTGAATTTGCGGTGCATCATCCCCTCGTGTGTTGGAACGGCTCGCAGAAGGAGATTGTCACTGCACTTCAGGATTCCCTGCAAGCGATCTTATTTATTGACAAAATACAGGGCATGCGTTTGCACATGTCCTGGGACAGATCATTGTTTGCTGTATGGTTATTCGAACTGATATAGTAAAAATAAAACATGTTAGAGCTAAAATATGCCAGTTGAGGTAAAAAATAAACGATTTAATGTAATTGTGGTTCATGCAGTCTATGTATGTTGAACGTCATTCACGCCGTACGCAGCCAACTGTGCAAGTCGGACATGCGGGAGAAAGACAACAAACTAAACATAATAAGCAGTTGTAAAGATGAGTTTCCATCTAGATGTAAAAGTGCGTAGCTCCTGTTGCTTCCTAATAACGGAAGAAAGAGCGTTCCAGATGGCCGCAGAAGCGCATCTGAAAGGGCGCGATGCAGTGATCGGGCTGAGACATCCACTCGCTTGAACAACTGGTTTTAATCCTGCATGGCTGCCCCGATTTGAACTCGGTTGGAACCAACTCCAATGCTATGAACTCTGAGCCCCACCTGGCTACCTAGACAAAAAGAAATGTTGTGAGTTTACATCCCAGGCAGGGGCAGATTCAGTTCATCGATCATCCTGGGTCAGTAAAATAAATAACCACATTGTGGGACGTCGGCTGTGATGGTGTTCTCAAAAGACTGGCACCCCACCCTGGCAATGTGGATTTTTTTCACTGGCTTCTAAATTTCTGAAAAGAATGAGAGCCTTGCTATTGTTGCTCGTTCTAACATGGATGTACTTCAATGTTACTTGATATCCGGTGTCCTGACAGTCTACACAATGCAATGGCAGGTATTTATTTTTCAAAATGTTCCTTTCTCTGTACATGTGACTGTGCGTTTCATTGAACGTGTGGCTATTTTCTGTGTACAGTACGCTCTAATGTAAACGCTGTATCAAATGTGTCTGCTTTTAAAGAACTGTTTTGGAATCGAGCTTAAACGAATGGGGATTACCTGCCAAAACCCTCTGCAATATGTTATGGTATGTGTGTGTGTGTGTGTCCACATATGTTGTGTCTGCTGTACCTTCACCCACACTATTTATAGTTTGATGTCTCACTCGGGGGCCGCTTGTATTTTGACTTGTCTGTTCCTATATCCGCGTGTCACTGTGCCGCTATATTTACGAAAACATTTTTTTTAAGGACACCCGCTCCACAAGATTAAAATGTCACCTTTGAATTTATGGCCACAGTGACGACGCAGGGTCACATTCGAAAGCAGTTATAAAAGTGTGTGGTCTCGACGCATCGCACGATAATAACTTCACGAGTTGAGGGAAGAGAGAGAGAAAAAAACGGCAAGACAAATTGCCCATTACTGAAAGCGAGAATTTTATATTTTATGTGAAAATGAAAATACGGTAACATCATTGCAGGGTCGTTTGGCGCAACTTCTGCTGAATGTAAAGAATGAGAGAAAGGGCCAGGGATAGAGCTGGCCACTTAAAATTCACTGATGTCATGAATACCAAACATATGGATGCAATGCTGTCTGGAGCTTTAATAGCTTAAGCCTGGTGTGCTGTAATCTGTTTTCATGAAATTATTGTATTCAGCCTTTTGTTCTCCACGTCAGCTAGAGTGTTCATAGGTTACAAACAATGCTTTGTAACACACCATTACATCCCGATGCAACAAAACTCCTCTTATCCGCAACGCTATTACCCTTTTATCTGCAGGATAGTGTAGGATCTGCAAAACCTCCTGTCATTTCCCACCGATAAGTTGAAGCGACTTCACGGATAATGGTGTCCGTGACGTTTGTTTTCATGTCACTGCGGATAACAGGAGTTCTGCTGTCGTTAATGTACTACACCATGCCAGAGATGCTTAAGTGGCCAGCCATGCTAACGCACCTGTAATCAGGTAACCGTAGAGGTGAGGGTTGATGGACCTCGTGTCGATGGAGCCAGCAAGCGCTGCAGGGTGCAAGCTGAGGATGTATATTTCCGAACTACCTCGGCAGTGTGAGTTAACCCTTCGTATATTTACGCATGTTTTATACTGAGATAATACTCAATGGATTGGCCAAACCTGTCACGGAAGACCCTCCTGACAAGGTAGCCCTGGGGAATTGGTGAGGCTTTAATGGTTAACGTCGAGGGAGCATTGCCAATGCGTAGGTTTTCGCACTTGTGTCGTACAGCTCCCCGATGTCTTTCCGCGTTGCGCCACAAGTTGTTTGGCGCATCATCCGACGTGTACCTCCGCGTGCGCTGGAAGCTTCTTCAGCTCACCCCCTGAAGGGTTGAAACATCAGACACCACTCCGAGCAACGTGACGCAGTACAAAGCCGGAGACATATTATCTCCAGCGGGCATTGGGCATTATCAACGAGGAAGGGGGTTAAGGGTTGAAGCGGTGATGTTGTTTTACAATAGCCACCGTTGCTCTCATTCAGCACAAAGCCGTTCGTGCAAAGGGGAGGGATTGTGGCGTTTTAATCCGCCTTTTGTTTTATGGGAAACTGGATAGTATTTTTTCATTGCGCGACTCTTCACGACATCGCCACCGTATCACGCACGTCTGATAGAAACGCTGGCCAATGTCTCAAAGTGCCAATGTGCTCAACTGGCGGTCGTGGCAAGGCGAGTTTTTCCCACCCACCCCATCGCATCTGCGAAGCTGTTCTGTTTTTAAGCGTGTGCGTAATGCACGTGCTGCTTCGGATTTAACGCGCCTGCTAGTGCAGCGCCTTGGGAACTGCGAACAGCCCTTCAAAAATGTGCCAGTGCACGGAGAATAGCAACGCTGTGCACTAAGAAGGGGCCGAACTTCCGTTACTTATCCCTCGCCACGGAGAAGCCCCGCAGTTGTGTGATCTCACCGAGACTCCTTGGGGCAAAGCGTGAATGTGGCCGGCTAGTTGAGCTCGTGGTGAACATTCCACACTTCTATGGCACGAGACAGTTGTATCGTACTGTTAGGTTTTTTCGGTAAAGTCACGTAGGTAAAAAAATTGAATTAAAAGTTAATAAAAGTAATAATGGAAATAAAATTAAATAGTAATTTGCAGTAAATTTAGCTGTGACGGTCCCACCTGATGACGGAGACTTGTGTTGCCTCCGAAACGTCGTGATTTATTATTTTATTTTATTTTCATTATTACTTTTATTAACTTTTAATTTCATTTTTTTTTACCTACGTGACTTTACCGAAAAAACCTAACAGTATGAATCCTTGCAGTCACGAAAGCTTCAAATCTAGAAACAGTTGTATAGGTAGAACTAAATACATTTGGCAGGATAACGCGATTGAGATGATAATATACATGGCATAATAATATTTTCATTGCATTTTGCGTCATTCATGCTAAAAGCATCCCATAATGCTGTACATTAATTATATATAAGAACCAAATCCCAAATAAAGCCACAACCAAGCAAATGAAAACCCTACTACAAAGCAACATTAAAAAGAATAGCGATATTTGTGGACATTTCGATTTAAAGCTTTCGTGACTGCAGGGATTCATCTTCTTGGTTCTTTCGGTAAAGTCACGTAGAAGGGAAGTAATAAAACAATAAAAATTAAACATAATAAAATAAAATAATTCCCACGACGTTTCGGCTACAACGCAAGCAGCCGTCTTCAGGTGAAGAATGGCAGTGTCTCATTCTTCACCTGAAGACTGCTGCTTGCGTTGTAGCCGAAACGTCGTGAGAATTATTTTATTTTATTATGTTTTATTTTTATTGTTTTATTACTTCCCTTCTACGTGACTTTACCGAAAGAACCAAGAAGATATGTGGACATCTCCATAGCTATGTGAAAGTCGTGCAACTTTTTTTTTCAAGAAGATGGAAAATTGCTTTGAAATGTTACACCCTTATTGTCAATTCATACCCTCCAGGACTACTCTCTAGCTTTGTGTCCGATCACACTTGCTTTCAAATATGTAAATAAAAATGTTATTGTCATCGGCAAAGCTTTAAAGACCACAACAGAGATTGAAACCTATTACATACGATGTTAAATAAACCATTTACGCGAGTCAGTCGATGAGATCCCGCATTTCGAGTCGGTGTTTAGTTGAGGATTATTGTTAACGGAAGTTATGGTGAGGGTCAGTATTAACAGTATTAAAGTTAGGTTACATTTAGTATGATACTAAACTAGTATTATTCATGAGAACAATTATTAATGCCAATCGGAAAATGTTCCGAATCAATATTTACGTGTGTTTGTGTGGCAGATTGAAACACAACAAAAACACTCGTGCAAATTCACTTAGAACAAAAGTTTATTATCGTATTCCAGGTCATTAGGGAAAGAAGGTGATATTGGGTGTAATTAGTGCTCACCAGCAGAGGGAACATGCCTTTGGGCAAAGGCTTAGGAATCCGTGTGCGGATGTGGGTTTGTAATCAAATTTACCCTC